AATTAGACCTACCAGACCTACACAGACCATCTAGTAAACAACAGCAGAGCACACATTCTTCTCTAGGGCACATGGAACATTCTCAGGGTAAACCATATGTTGGGCCACAAAACAAGTTTTAATAAATTTTAAAAGATTGAAATCATATTTTCTCTGACCACAATGGAATGAAGATAGAAATCAATAACAGAAGGAAAACTGGAAAATTCACAAATATGTGGAAATTAAACAACACAATCTCAAATAGCCAATGGTTTAAAGAAGAAATCGCAAGGCAAATTAGAAAATACTTGGAGACAAGCAAAATGAAAGCACAGCATCCCAAAACTTACAGGACATAGCGAAAGCAGTGCTCGGGGGGAAATTTATAGCAATAAATCCTTACATTTAAAAAGAAGAAAGATCTCAAATCAATCATCAAACTCTATACCTTATGGAATTAGAAAAAGAAGAGCTAGGTAAACCCAAAGCTAGAAGAAGAAAGGAAATAATAGGGATTAGAGTAGAGATAATGAAATGGAGGGTTAAAAAAAAAATAGAGAGAATCGACAAAACCAAAAGTTGGTTCTTTGAAAAGATCAACAAAATTGACAAATTTTTAGCCCAGTTGACTAATAAAAAGAATTGGTCCCAGCCGGTGTGGCTCAATGGTTGAGCATCGACCTATGAACCAGGAGGTCACAATTCGATTCCTGGTCAGGGCACATGCCCTGGGTTGCAGGCTTGATCCCTAGTGTGAGCCGTGCAGGAGGCAGCCAATCAGTGAGTCTCTCTCATCGTTGATGCTTCTATCTCTCTCTCTTCCACTTTCTTCATCTCTGAAATCAATAAAAAATATATTTTTTTAAAAATAAATAAATTCAATAACAGCTAATTTTTTAAAAAGTTAAAACTTTTGTGCTTCAAAGGACACTATCAAGGTAATGAAAAGACAACACATGGATTGAAAGAGTATTTGTAAATAATATATCTGATCAGGGTTTCATATTCAAAATATATTATAAAAAAAACTCCTACAGTTCAACAACAAAAAGACAAACCACTCAATTTTAAAATGAGCAAAGGGTTTGAATATACATTTTTTTAAAATATATTTTATTGATTTTTTACAGAGAGAAAGGGAGAGAGATAGAGAGTTAGAAACATCGATGAGAGAGAAACATCGATCAGCTGCCTCCTGCACATCTCCTACTGGGGATGTGCCCGCAACCCAGGTACATGCCCTTGACCGGAATCGAACCTGGGACCTTTCAGTCCGCAGGCCGACGCTCTATCCACTGAGCCAAACCGGTTTCGGCTGAATATACATTTTTCCATAGAGGAAGTGAAAATGGACAATAAGGACATAAAAATGTTCTCAAAATTATGAGGGAAATGCAAACCAAAACCATGATGAAATACCACTTCACCCCTCGTAGGATGGCTATAATTTATTTTTAATTCAAAAAAGAACAAGGGGTTGGCAAAGATGTGGAGACACTGAAAGCCTCATAAACTGTGATGGAGATGCAGCTGCAGTGGGAAACAGTTTGGTAATTCCTCAAAAAGTTAGACGTAGAATTACCATTCTATAACCCAGCAAGTCCACTCCTAGGTATACACCCAAAATAATTAATTAAATGTTTCCTCACATGTTGAAGTCTTAATTACCCAATGTGATGGTATTTGTAGGTGGAGCCCTTGGGAAATACTCGCTGTTAATGAGGTCATAAAGGTGGGGTCCTACTCTAACCAAGGTGGAAGGTGGCCATCTACAAGCAAGAATGAGAGTTCTTACCAAAATACAAATCGGCCAGCACCTGGGTCTTGGACATCTCAGCCTCCACAACTGTGAGAACATGAATGTCTGCTGCCTAAGCTACATAGTCCATGGCATTTTGTATGGCAGCCCTAACGGACTAACACACAGGAATTCGAGCAAATACTTGCTGTTTACAATAGCCAAAAAGTGGATATAGTCCAAACGTTCATCAACTGATGAAGGAATAAACAAAATGTGGTATATCCATACAATAGAATATTTACTAAGCCATAAAAAAGAATAAAGTTCTGATACATACTACCGCATGGATAAACCTTGAAAAAATATATATATATACCATAACAGAAAGAAAAAAAAGGGGGGAGGAAGGAGGAGGAAGAAGGGGAGGGAAGGAGGGAGGAAAGGTGAGAAGTGGGGGAGGGATTGAAAGTGGGAGGAAAGAGAGGGAAAGAGAGAGAGAGAACATAATGAAAAACCTGCAACGAAGAATAACACTCACAGAAATACAGAAAGGCTCACAGGGAGGGACTATTGCAGGGCTTGGGCTCTGAGAATGCAGGTGAGACATGGGCCAATGGGTCATGTCCACGGACGCCCTGCCTAGACCCCTCGGCTCACCTGAGTTTACCTGCTGCTGGCAAGGTCCTGGCGTGAGGATAGCTTCCCGCCTGGAGTCTGTACTTCTGTCTTTCTTCTCTGCCTGAGGGTTCTCTGGCACCAGAGAACTTGCTGGGTGCCTCCCAGAAATCCAAAGGTCTTGATGACCCCAAGCACAGCCCCCCATTAGAGAATAAGTGCCCTGCCCCCCAAAATGCCCTACAGTTAATTAAAAGTAAATAAAAGCAGAAATGCATTCCTTCAGTTGCCCACATTTCTAGGACTCAGTAGCCCACATGCGGCCAGTGGCTACCATTTGGACAGGGTGGAGTTAGAATACCCGCTTCATTGCAGAATGTTCTATTGGGCCCCCTGGGGACTGGGCCTCGGCTGCCTGCTCAGGAGCACAGCTTTTGTTGGCTTGTCTCCCTGCCCTGTCTCCCTCTCCCCACAGCCTTCCCTGTGCTCCCTGGGGTCCCTCCCAAGGAAAAGACCTGCACCTGAGTCATTGTCTCAAGATCTGCTTTCAAGGGAACCTAAACCAATGAATGCACTGGTGACATCGGAATGACGGCAGCTGGGGTGAGGTAGCCACACACACACACACACACACACACACACACACACACACACGTGCTCCTGAAATAGCTGAAGGTCTGTGTGTCTCACCTGCCCGGCCTCTCCGAAGGTGACAGGTAGAGGAATACCCAGAAGCCAACGCGCAGTGGGTCAACAACCCTGAGATCTGGGTGTGAGCAGCCTCGCCCCTCAGTCTCTGAGTGATGGCCGTGGGGGTCAACCCCTGGTTGTCCCTCTTGCCCCTCCCACCCAAAAGTCCCAACCCTGCCTACAGCCAGGCCTTCAGGCACAGGCACTGCACCCCATGAGGCAGGGACAGGAATTCCCTCCTGAAGGAGCCTTTATGCTCCCAGTGAGGACCTGGAGGCTCAGAGAGAAACGGCAATTCCTCGAAGGCCACACAGCCGCTGAGGAGCCAAATGGGCTCCCGAGGTCAGCTCTCCTGATACCCAGGCCCTCACTGTGCCCTGGCCCCTGGGGAAGACATGGGGACCATAGGAGTGTGGGGCAATGCAGGCTCCAGGCTGCCCAAACCAGAGGGGCTGGCACCGCCCAGCTGGGGGCCTTTGGCAGGGCACCAGGCCTTCCTCTGGGAGTGAGCAGTGAGCAGCTGGTCCCCCTTCCCTTGTTAAAAGCCTTCATTTGACTAAGAGGCAATGGCTCTACAGGCCCTGAAAGGCTGCTTCATCTTTCACCATCCATCCCTCCTGCCTGGAACACACCTTCCTTCTCTCAGCAAAACAAACCAGCTGCCCAATCATAAGTCCCTTCCTTGGTGACGGCCCCCAGGACCCTGTTCTCACCACGCTGTGTGCCCTCGCTGCCTTGCTGCCTCCCTCACGCGAGGGGGGGCTCTGCGCATGATCCCTCTGGGTGTCGGCAATGACAGGGAGTAGGAGGACACCCCGGAGCAGGGGTTCTGGCCACCTCACCCTCTGCCCCTCCATCCCCTCACTTCCTGAGTCTCCCTGAGTGGGACTGGACAGGCTGGCATCAGAGAGCTCAGAGCCATGAGCGCTGTCCCAGGGCACAGGCAAAATTAAATTAACATTTTTTCCATTTCCCCTTTATTGCAAGCATATTGAATGCTATTGCACAAACTCCATTTCTCCGCTGGCTCCTCCACCCTCAGGATTCGTGACAGGTCTCACGCCACCGCCCCAGCTAAACCCTCCAAGGTCCTATTGCCCTCGAGACGGAGCCAAGCGCCAGCTCCAGGCACAGGCCAGGACCCCCTGCCCACCTACTCTTCCCTTTTCGCTGGCTGCCAGCCCTCCTGGCTCCCAGGCCCCCACCCCTCTCTGCCCCTCTCCCATCGCGTCAGGAATCTCAAAGGAGAACAAGTTCCCACACCCACCAGCCATCAGCCCGTGGCAAACGTGCTCAGAACTCAGACATCAGGGCCCAGAGCTGGGAGTGCAGCTGGGGCTTCGATTGTGTCATCTTAGCAGATGACACAATCCAAAGAGGGCTAAAGCTTTGCTGGGCTCGTTCATTCATTCAGTCCGGAAGTTCATATTGAGCACAGCCTCTGCTCCAGGCCAGTGGAGACACCCAGAGGGATCGTGCACAGAGCTCCCCCTCGAGTGAGGGATGCGGCAAGGCAGCGACGGCACACAGCGTGGTGAGAACAGGGTCCTGGGGGCCGTCACCGAGGAAGGGACTTATGATTGGGCAGCCGGTTTGTTTTGCTGAGAGAAGGAAGGTGTGTTGGTGGGATCACATCCAGGAGGGATGGATGGTGAAAGATCAGAAGCAAGAATCAGTGTGGTGTGGTTGGGGGGGATGAGCATTGGATAGAACAGAAGGTGGTGGTGGTGGAGCTGGGTCAGGCTGGAGGAGCGGACAAGGCCCTGGCCACAGAGCCCTCTGAGGGGTCGTGGGCAGTGGGAAGCCAGGGAAGGGTGTGGAGCTGGGGAGGGCAGAGTCGGATTTGCTTTTGAAGGAGCTCCCTCTGGCTCCCCGTGGAGGGCCAGCTGGAGGAGCAGAGACCAGTGATGTGGATGTTGCAATAGTCCTGGCCAGCAAGGATGAGCTCAGAACGAAGGCAACAGCCGTGGGGAGAGAATAAAGTCATGGGATCGCATGGATGAGGGAGAGGGAGGAGTCCAGTTGCTGCCCGCATCTGTCCCCAGGAATCAGGTAGGTGGTGTGGCCCTTCACTGGAAGGGGCGCCTGGGGAGGGCAGGGCTAGCCATGCCATCTGTGGACTGCTGGGACAATCCTCAGCCGCAGTGTTTAGCAATTAGGCCACTGGCCGGGGAAGAGGGGAGAGGGTCTGGGAGGACCACCAGGACAAGGAGGGGCTCAGAGGGGAGCTCTGGGGGAGGCAGGGAGAACCCAGGGCCAGCAGCGGCGCAGGTCAGGGCGGTCGGTGATGGCAGGCTTGGGGGGCAGCAGGGAGGAGCAGTTGCACTTGGTGACAAGAGTCCCAGCACCCATCCCTCCACCCGTGGAGGACTGTGGACAGAAACTGGACTGGAATGGGTTCTGGAGAGACTGGGTGGTGAGAAAATGGGGAATGGGAAGTGTAGACAACTCTGAAGAAACTTGGCTACGGACAAATGAAAGCTGGGGTGGGGGACCAAGGAGGACATTTTTCATTTTAAGATGAGAGGGAATTGCGCCCGGCTGGCGTGGCTCAGTGGTTGAGCGCCGACCTACCAACCAGGAAGTCACAGTTAGATTCCCAGTTGGGGCACCTGCCCAGGTTGCTGGTTCCATCACCAGTGGGAGCATGTAGGAGGCAGCCGATCAATGATTCTCTCTCATCATTGATGTTTCTAACTCTCCCTCTCCCTTCCTCTCTGAAATCAATAAAAATATATTTTTTAAAAATGAGAGGGAATGGCCCTAACCAGTTTGGCTCAGGGGACAGAGCATCGACCTGTGGACTGAAAGGTCCCAGGTTCGATTCCGGTCAAGGGCACGTACCTTGGTTGGGGACACATCCCCAGTAGGAGGTGTGCAGGAGGCAGCTGATCAATGTTTCTCTCTCATCGATGTTTCTAACTCTCTATCCCTCTCCCTTCCTTTCTGTAAAAAATCAATAAAATAAAATAAATGAGAGGGAATTGAGTGTAGTGATGTGCTAAGGGCTAGGAAGCATCTGCAAATGGGTGCGCAGGAGTGACTGCTGGGTTGAGGTCTCTGTGTCCAGAGGACACCCAGCGTTCAGTGGACAGTTTGTGGATAAACGAGGAAGCAGGCACAGATGTCAGGAGCAGGCTCAAGCATCATACAAGCCCCTTCGTTTTCGGGACAAAGGGAATGAAAGGCCAGCTGAGCAGGGGCGGGGTTGTGGATGGGGGCAGGATAGGGCAGGACTCTCCATGGGGCAGCTTGTGTGCTTGGAGCAGAGGAGGTCCTCCACCACCCGCCCCTCTGAAGCTCCCACCCTCTCCATCACCCAGGAGCACACGGAATGCTGGGAGTGGGCTGAAAGACCCTGCCTGCTGTGGGGGGCAGGGCAGGAGTGTGGGCTGCAAAGGGGTCAGAGGGAAGGCCGGGGCCTGGGCCCTGCCAGCCTACCTCTGACTCTGCAGGCGACCAGGAGCGGCCCCTTCTGCCCCTTGAAGCCCCCGCTTCCCCACCTGCAGAATGGGGACTCGGGGTCAGCATGCTGCCAGAGGGGTGCGAGGTGACGCTCCCGGAACCTGCATCTCACACCTGTGGGGTTCCGAGAAGTCCCTCCTGTATGAGTCCAGACTCCTAACGTTCTATAACATAGTTTTTGTATTGCCACCAGGGATGGGTCCAGCAGACATCTCTTCCCTCAAAATTGCTCTGTCTGCCTGTCCCAGCTGCCAGCTCTCCTTTCCTCCCTTTTCCCCATCAACTCTGGGCACAGCCAGCCTCGAACACGTCCCAAGTGAGCACTTGGCCGGCGGGGCCGTGATTCATGCCCCTCCAGCAGGCTTCGTGGCTAGCCCGCCCGCCAGAGTATGCAAGACATTCCTGGCCTGGCCTTGCTCTCGGGATTAGCGGGGCGGGGGCGGCGGGGCTGGGGGAGACAGTGTGCTCCGTCTTCAGCCAGGCACGGGGCATTCAGGCACGAGCAAGTCTGAAGTGGCCGCCAAGCTGGCCAGCGGGGGAACATCATCCATAAACCAAGGCCACGTCTGGGACCCAGACAGCAGGGCTGGGTGGGGATATTCAAGGAACGCCGCCACCTGCTCCATGTCCAGGGGATGAAGAAGGGCCAGGAGTCTGAGGCAGGCGAGATTGCTCACCCCAACCCCCTGCCCTATTTCCCTCGTGGGCCTCTTCCCATACCTGGGAGCCTGGCCCATCCCAACCCCCCCACCCCGCCCAGACCCCAGGCTTGGCTGAGTGTGACACCTACTCCTGGACAGAAGAGCTCAGGCGCCTCCAGACTCTCCCCAGGTCCCCCCCATGTTCCCTCCCAGGGATGTGCCTCCACCCTCAGACCACCATGTCAGAGCAAGATCTGCCTCTCTAAAAGCCAGCCTCCCGAGTCAGGGCTGTGTACACACATGCACTCACAGAGACACACACAGGTACACATAGACACATATGCACACAGAGACACGCACAAAGTTACACACAGACACAATGCATACTCACAGACACACATGCACAGAGACACACAGGTACATGCACACACAGACACACAGGCACACAGAAATACATGTGCACACAGAGACACACAGGCATGCACACAGAGACATACATACATGCACAGACACACAGAGACACACAGGTACATGTACACATAGTCATACGCAGGTACATGCACACATGTGCACACAGACACACGTGTATGCACAGACACGCATGCACACAGAGACACACGGGTACACACAGACACCTATGTACACAGAGACACGTGCACACGTGTACATAGACACACATGTGTGTACGCACATGCATGCACAGACATGCATGCACACAGAGACACCCGGGTACACACAGACACATGTGCACACAGAAACACACAGAGACACATGCACACACGCACACAAACACACGTGTGCATGACACACATGCACACATAGACACACGAGTACACACAGACACATATGTACACAGAGACACATGCGCACATGCACATAGACACACACGTACACACAGACACATGCACGTTGAGACCAGTGTCCTAGCAGAGGGCCTTGTCCCCCTCAAACCATCATCTCAGACCTGGGCTGTAACCCCCTCAGACCAGAATCCCCGGTCTTGTCTCTCCCTCAGGAGGGATAGGAGGGGTGGCATGGGGACCTTGGACGGTGGGAGAACAGAGATGAAGGAAGGTGCCAGGTGTGGGCTCTCCTGGTCCCTGGAGGAATCTCTGTGCCAATGGCCGGTATAAGCCATTTCCGACTCGGCAAGAGGCTGGGCTAGACCGGTCACTGAGGGGAGGTTTCATGGTGAGGTGACTTTGAAGAGGGTCTCTGGGCCTGTGGGCAGGGAGGGCTGTGCCGGGGCGGCGGGCAGCAGTTCTGTGTCTGGTGGGGGCAGCTGTGCCCCCACCCCCAAGGCTGTGGCTGAATGCTGTGAAATGCCTCAGCTACCTTCTCCCGGCCTGGACGTGCTGTCCCCTTGGCAGTCCTCAGCCCAGCCCTGGGCCCTGCCGTGCTACTGGACCCTTCTGAGGCAGGTTTTGCTCATCTAATATGGAGAACAGGGACAGTACACCCCACATCGGGGCTCCTTGGGGGTAGCGAGATCACAGTGGTGAAGACCCCAGGCACACACACAGTTGGCACGGAACCCACGGCATGCTCTTCCCTCGTTGGCCACAGGTAACCCCAGGTGCCAACAGGGCCAAGACGCAAGAAGCAACCAATGTGAGCCCAGCCTGTCCCTCATCCCACGTCCAGCACCGAGTCCTTCAGGAAGTCCCAGAGACAACGCAGAGCGGTGGGGCGGAGAGAGAGCTGGCCGGCCTTGGGGGGGCAGCCACAGTGGCCCTTGGGGGAGGACAGGCCCCTTCCCCAGTCACTGGAATCCCTGGCACCTCAGGGCTTCCTCAGGGGTTCGTTCTCTCTCCAGAGGCTGAGGGTGGACGATCCAAAGCAGAGGCCCCGGGTTCCTGCCCTGGCCCCTGCTGGAGAGGGAGAGGGGCCTCAGCCCCACCCAGTGGGGACGGATAAGGGACAGAGGCCAGAGGCGACACGGCCTGCTTCCAGCCCCAGCTCGTTTCTGACCTCAGCACTGAGACCTCTCCCCACAGGGGCACCCAGCCAGGCCCCTCGGAGACTGGGCCAGATCCGGAGGACAGCTCAGCCCAGGGACAGGGCTTGCTCCCTGTTCAGTCCTTAAAAGTCCATTGGACTGAGCGCTACTCCCACTGTGGAGGGGCCTGTGTGCAGGGGCTGCATTCCCAACGTGCCATGGCGGGGAGCTGACCGGCGGTCTCCCCGGAAAGCGCCTGATCCAAGCCAGATCCCGGGAAGAGACCACAGCACCAGGGCCTGTGGCGGGGAAGGGGGCTGTGCAGTTAAAATGGGACTAATAGTAAATAAGAGGGAGGGACAGGGAGGCGAAGGGGGCTCAGAGAGAGGGAAGAGGCTTAGGGGGCTCACTGAAGGGGCGGGAGGACCTCAGAGAAAGGGTCCACAGGAAGTGTGCTCAGCTAGAGACCAGGCCCTCCCGCCCTCCCTCTCAGCAGGCTTCCTCTTGGCCGGCTCTGCCACACAGCCCTCGCTGACCCTCTGGCTGCCTGCCTGCCTGGGCCTGACCACACTACCTGGGCCCCCTCCATCCAGGGCCTCAGTGAACCCCGGGACAGATGGTCAAGGTCAGGCCCTCTCTGAGGACATCTGGAAAAGACCTGGGCCGTCAAGCGAGTGGGAGTGGGCTCCAGGCCCTGTTGGCAGGCAGAGAGGCACGGGGGCCCCTCCTGGAATTGCCCTGGGGAGGGGGGGGCACAGGCTGAGAACCAGATCCCACCACACACGGAGACCCAAGCTGCTGTGGGTCAGCGCAGGGTGTGAGCTGGCCCCAGGGGCAGTGTCAGCTCCTCTGGCAACCCGAGGAAACCCACCCAGAAGAGGAGGCATGACCCCTGAGCTGGGCTTGCAAGAAGACCTGGCCATGGGGCATTGAGGGGCTGTCCAGGGGCAGGTGTGTGACAGGTGTGGCAGGGAGAAGGACGCGGGAGGACTGAAGAAGTGGATGTATAGCCTGGAGAGTGTTGCCAAGGGGGATAGGATTTCATCTTAAAAGTGGTAACGGAATACACGCAGGTGTGTAGGCAGGGGAGGAACTGCCTGGGAGAGGGTCCCCAGCATTGACATTCTCCCTGAGGAACAGGAAGGAAAGAGGGGGCTGCTGGGAGCTGTTCACCGCAGGATTGCCCTCTGCCTTCTCAGGCCAAGGAACCTTCTGGACTCTAACACACACACACACACACACACACACACAGCTCATCCATGGAAGGATGCACCACAAAAAGGGGTGGGGGCGTGGCTCATGCAGTCATCCTCAGGCTCCATGGAGATCAAGGGTGAGACAGGCTCCCAGGCCCCAAGCTAAGCTAACAGGGGCTGTGGGTCACAGCAGGACCCATTCCTCCCCACCCACCACCCAGAAATGCGAGTTGCCCTGGAAATACTGTTTAGGTACAAACACTTCTTCAGGAGATGTGCTGAGGGGAAAGGGCTGAGCAGGCCATCTGGGGAGAGGCCAGGCTGTGGGGGCCGTGGAGAGACCCTTCTGGTTAGCAAGTGGCCCTGGTCCCTGGGGAAGGGTGGCCAGAGCCAAAGCTGCCTTTCCCAGGGCCAAAGGGAGAGCAGGGGTGGAAGGAAGAGTGACAGCGAAAGGAGAGTCCTGGACCAGGGCTCCAGGGCAGGACTGCACGGCCTGCTCTGCTGCTGGATCTGGGCCTCAGTTTCTCTGTCTGTAAAATGAATGCATTGTCCCCACAGCTCCTTTGACTCTGGTTTGCCACCTCTCACATTCTCTGGTGCTGCTGGCGCCTCCCCTAGCGGGAGAGGGATCCTAGGCCCTTCCCACTCAGCCCCTTGCTAAAGCCCCCTCTGCCACCCACTTCTCTCCTCCTGGGAGCCAGTGTGAGAAGGAGCAGGTGGTTGGGTGTATGGGGGTGTCACCAGGGGGCCAGAGCTGAGGAAATAGCCTGGAAGGGCAGGTTGGGGAGGATTTGGAAATTTTTAGAACCTTGACAGCTGGAGCCCCATGAGTCAGTGGGGCAGATGGAAGTGATTAGGGGACTGGCGGGAGGCACAGCAGGCGGAGACAGGAACCAAGTTAGGGGAGCTTGGAGCCCAGAGCCGTGTGGCAGGCAGCGTCCTCCCAGCCTCGAAGCCTTGGGGGCCCGGGAAGCCTCAGGGGCCCTGAGGCTGCTGTGCGTGTTTGGAGGCACCAAGCCAGGCTGTTCAACCAGGCCCACGGGCTGGAAGACAAGGAGGCTAGAGGCGGGAACCCCAGGGAAGAGAGAGGACACCGGGCAAGAGAAAGGCCTGGGACCCAGGGCCAGGAACCTCCTGCTATTGGCTCCTCATACCTTCTGTCCAGAGGAGGAGAGGTTCTCGGTGTCTGCCCCTCATGTCCACTTTCCCTTCCAGAGGTTCTCAGACCACCCCCAGGGATCATGCAGACAATCCCACCACAATCCAATCCAATACTCGCCCCGCCCTTGAGAGGCTTCTCTGTGTCCCTCAAATTGTATCTCATCTCTAGGGCAAAGGAAAGCAAAGAGTAGGCCATTTCCCAAAGAATTCCCTTCTAAACCATCTGTCAAGCCCCTCCTGGGCCAGGCCCATGCCAGGTCCTGAGGATTTTGAGAAAAGCCCATTGAGTCCCTGCCCTTGAGAAGTATCCAGTCCAGCAGATGGCCATGGACCATCAGAGTGCCTGAGAATGCATGACCCAGCAGAGCACCCGTGGCAGCTCCCAGGACAGGGAGGCTATGAGGTGGGGCTGTGGAGAGCAGGGCCTGGGGCTGGAGAGGCTGAGAAGGAGGGTCCTCGAGGTGGGAGAGAAGCCAGGAGGAGGCAGGAGGGCACTGTACCTCACTGCTCAGCCATTCAGATTGATGAGCAGGGAGGCCCCTGTCTCCATGGAGCAGTGGGGTGGGAGGCAAATCAGAGTGGATAGAGGATCTAAAACAAGAAGAGAAAGTGAAGCCTGGCCGGCATGGCTCAGTGGCTGAGCGTCGACCAATGAACCAGGATGTCACAGTTCGATTCCTGGTCAGCGCACATGCCAAGTTGTGGGTTCCATCCCCAGGAAGGGGTGTGCAGGAGGCAGCCAATCAATGATTCTCTCTTATCATTGATGTTTCTATCTATCTCTCCCTCTCCCTTCCTCTCTGAAATCAATAAAAGCATATTTAAAAAAATTAAGGTGATCAGAGCCCAGCTACAGGGGTGGGAGGTTCCTGACAGAGGTGAGTCCTAAGGGGGAAGGGTTGGGAAAGCAGGGGACACACATGCAGCCTGGCCCAGGGCCCAGGGCCCTCCTGGTGCAACAACAGCCACGTCAGCCAACCACATGCCCACATGCCAGCCAGCAATTCTGCAGATCACCACAGGGCTCAAACATGAGCATGACTGTGGGCGCCACATCTAGCTTTTTCCAGAGCATCTCATGGCTCCATTTCTCCTCAACCATCCCACCCATCCTCTCGGTGTTCAGCAAACATTCACCGATAGCCACTCTCTTCCAGGCCCCTGCTGGGCTCTGTGGCATGGAGGTACTGGCCTACAGAGGGAGACGGACGGAGGGTCCGGGGAGCCATAGCTGACATCTAGAAGGATGGGTCACTCCACCGAGGAGGTGGGGACACTGTGGTAAAGAAGTGGCTATGGAGGTGAGTCTGGTACAAGGAGCGGGAGTTTGCCAGGCAGGAGCTGTCATGGACACAGAGATGGGGGCAACAGGGGGCCTCACAGAGGGTGCAAGGCAGGCCCAAGAGGAGTGCAGAGACGGGCAAGGTCAGAACGTCAGCATTGAGGACTGGAGGCATACGGCTTGTCAAGGTGTTTTAAGCAGGGAGGATCTATGTTGTAGAAAGATCATACTGGTGGCCTGTGAGCAGCCCCGCATAAAGCCTAAACGTAGTGGTCATACATGTAAAAGAGAGGACAGACACAAGAGGGGCTTAGGAGGCAAAACCTGTAGGATTTGCCTAAGTAACGGGGCATTGAGGGAGGTAGAAGGAGGCATCTGGGAAGCAGGGGGAGCAGAGGTGTTGCAGGTGGGGGAGGAGGCAGTGGGGGAGGGGCTGATTGGAACCATCGCTGAGCCTCCCTAGAACCTAGCGGCTTTGCAGCATCTGGAACATCTCAGTCAGTGATGATATCCACAAGAACCGTCAGCACAGAGGTAGAAACGGAAGTCTTACAAAAGGCCAGAGAGCTCACAGTGTTCTCATGGATGAGATGGGGAGCCACTGGAGGCTCTAAACCGAAAAGTGACAATAAAATTTAGGAGAAATATGTGGGCAGCGGGGAAGAGGCTGGGGCAGAGGAAGTCTGGCAGCAGAGAGACCTAGGGTGATGGTGAAATGTCCCCCCAGAGGCCAGGCCCACGAAAGTGGCCAGGATAGGGGTTGTAGAGCAGCCCTGGGAAGCAAAAGGATCTAGGCGTATGGGTCACAGTGGATTTCACTTTTTATATAAGTGGTGTCTTGACAAGGTGAGTCATAAATTATGCTTATGCTTATGCTGATGCTTTATGTCAAATTCTATTTTAAATTACTCAGTCCAAATTTGAAATTAGCCCTAGCCTGTTTGGCTAAGTGGATAGAAGGATCCCTGGTTCAATTCCGGTCAAGAGCACGTACCTCAGTTGCAGGCTCGATCCCCATGTGGGAGGCAACCAATCGATGTGTCTCTCTCACATTCCTCCCTCCATTCTCTCTACAAATCAATGGGGAAATATCCTCAGCATTAAAAATAAATAAATGAATAATATCTTTTTAAAAAAATAAAATTTATTACAAAGCTACAATAATCACCCAGCCAGCATGGCTCAGTGGTTGAGTGTCTACCTATAAACCAGGAGGTCACAGTTCGATTCCTGGTCGGGGCACATGCCTGGGTTGCGAGCTCGATCCCCAGTGTGGGGCGTGCAGGAGGCAGCCGATCAATGATTCTCTCTTATCATGGATGTTTCTATCTCTCTCCCCATCTCCCATACTCTCTGAAATCAATAAAAATATATGTAAAACAAAACAAAAAAGCTATAATAAGCAAGACAGTGTGATGCTGGCATAATGAAATAAGCCATCACATTTATGGCCAATTGATTTTCCACAAGGTTGCCAAGACCGTTCAATGGGGAGAGAAGAGCCTTTCAACAAATGGTGCTGGGACAACTGGATACACACCTGCAAAAGAATGAAGTCGGACCCCTACTTCACACCATATACAAAAATTAACTTTAAATAGATTGAAGACCTAAATGTAAGAACTAAACTATAAGACTCTTAAAAGAAAACATAGAGATAAATCGTCATGACCTCAAATTTGGCAATGGTTCCTCATATATGACACCAAAATCACAAGTAACAAAAGAAAAAGATAGCTGCCCAGCCGGCGTGGCTCAGTGGTTGAGTGTCAACCTGTGAACCAAGAGGTCGAAGTTCGATCCCCAGTCAGGGCACATACCCGGGTTGCAGGCTCGATCCCCAGAGTGGGGGTGTGCAGGAGGCAGCCAATCAATGATTCTCTCTCATCATTGATGTTTCTCTCTCTCCCTCTCCCTTCCTCTCTGAAATCAATAAGCATATTTTTAAGTGAGAAAAAAAATAGATAAATTGGATTTTCTCAAAATTAAACATTTGTGTTTCAAAGGACACTATCAAGAAAGTTAAAAGAAAATTCACAAAATATTTGCAAACATATTTCAAATGACTGAAGAGAATATGTTCTATAAAAGACTCCTCTTGGAAACTTCTTCATGGTGCGCGTGGAAGGGGGAGACCCTTCCCCATGTGCAGAGTGCAACCATTCTGCCCTGCCCTTCATGGAGTAAGTTTGCCCACAGGGGATCTGCCCATATAGGAAATTAGGGAAATGAGAATTGGAGGAGGGTGGGAAGAAGCAGGGACCCTTGCCCCCAGGGCAGCCACAGTTCTCTGGGAACTTGCTCACAAATTCCCCAAATTCTCTCATATTAATTTTAGAACAAGTCTTCGAAACCCGAGGAGTCTAGGGGACGACCTGGCGCCAGTTCGGGCAGCTCTCAGAAAGGGGACAGCACGAGGGAGAGGCTGTCTGGCCTGGCCTCCTGGCCCAGCCAGGCCTCGTCCATGGGAAGGTCATGAGAGGCACGAGCCAGGGACAAGCCCCGTGCGAGGCGTGGGCCCAGGCAATGGGCCAGAAGGTCCTAGGGCCTGAGGTCTCAGTTCCCACTGACATCAGTGCAAGGTGTCAGGGGGCCTGATTCATCAGGGCTGGGGCTCGGGGCCAGCCCTCTCCTGGGGGGTGAGCATAGCAGAGGTATGAGACAGCCCCAGCCAGGCAGGAGGCCCTGGGCTGGGCTGGACACGGTGACTGTTTTATAGAATTAGCAAGTGGGACCTGCCACAGGGGGGGGTGGAGATGTCATTGTCCTGGATTCCAACAGGCGCCCTCCCCCCCTTGCACCCCCGCCCAACCACTTCTGATTCACAAAATTAATTCCAATGGCTAGAGAGAGCAGCCTGTCAGCAGGGCCAGGGGGTCATAAACACGGGAAATATTAATAGCTCCAGCCAGGCTGCCTGGGGGGCTGGGGGACCTGCCAGAGGGACTGACTTATTTAGTCTCCTCATTAATGATGTGGAAAGAGGAGAGTTTACCCAAGCCTGGGGCGGATGCTGACCTACATCAGGGCAGGGATTGCCCAAGCTGAGGACAGGCTGCGGGGGTCCGTCCAGGGCTTCATTTCCCCCAGAAAGGATTCCTCTTTGCCCTGCCAGTGTGCCCCCGGCCCCACCACCCAGCCAGGTGTGAGTAGGTGCACCAGTGAGGGTGGCTCTCCTTTCTGTACCGGGGGCTCAGGAGTGACTCGTGTGAGCACATGAACACATGCACACCCCTGTCCGTTCCTGACAGCAGGACAGGAGGCACCTCCTCTCTCCAACCAGGAGCGCTCAACCTGGGAATGTGGGACCAAGTTGGGGTACAGAGTATTGAGCCACATCCTGAGGTGCGTGCTGACCAGGTGAGGATGGACTCCTTCCAGAGCAAGGCCCCTAGCCCTTCCTCCCAACCTCGTTCTGCAATTAATCAAGTCTCAGGATACTCAAAACTGGGAGCTCAAGAAAACCCTATGCGTGCACGAGCGTGCAAACACACACACACACACACACACACACACACACACACACACACACACATCTTGCTACATCTCTGAAACACACTCCCCCACACACTTAGCTGGGTCCACTCTGTGCATAGCCTATCCCACTAAAGGGAACAGAAATCAGTGCAGTTGGTACACTCTGCCCCCTCCCAAGACCCTTAGATCCTGAGAATATACTTCCAAATAGACCTCAGGGCCCTAGCACCAGGGGTCACAGGCAAAGGAGTTTGTGAATAGAGACAGCTGGGAAAGGGTTTGCAGAGAATGGGTTCGGAGGCATGCCCAGGGCCCACTGTCTGAGGCTGGGAGAACCCCCCCCCCCCCCAGCTGCATGGCTCTTAGCTGCCAGCGCAGGGACAGACACAGACTGGCTGGGACTGGCAGCAGAGGGGCTGGGAGCCTGCCGAGTCCCGAGCTGGAATGAAGGAGAAACCTGTCCAGCGATGAGATCAAGGAGATGGCACCAGTGTCTCCCCAGGGAGCTGAGCTCCGCGTCCCAGGACATTCCAAACTCTGCGAACAAAACATGGGGTGGGAGGCCGGCCAGGCTGGGCCTGTGCCAGGTGGCCCCCCACCCTTCCCATCAGCAGGGGGGCCTGCCCAGCAGTGGGACCGGCTGGGAACATAGCATGAGCTGCTGGGAATGCTGCCCACACAAGTCGCCTGGGGACGCAGCGTCCAGACACCTGCCACGTTCCCTCGGCAGGGCGCCACGTGCGGTGGTCTGCCCAGTCTCCTCCGAGCCGGGCCTTGCGTGGAGCGCTGTGGACCGAGCCGGGACATCCACCTGCCCGACGCTGTTCCGCTCAGCAAACACCTTCAAAGCCGTAATTACATTTAATAACTCCTGGGGGAAAGCCAGGCCTGGCAGGTTTCCCCCGTTGTGTAGGAAACGGGGGGCCAGTGTGGAATTTGGGCTACACCGCTATAGAGGGGGTGATGCAGATGCTCCCCTGGGACTGCTGCCTCCCAATCTCTTTCAGCTCAGGCAGCAGGAGGCCACGGGGACCCTGGGCTCCATCCCCCTGACCAAACCCTAATTCCATAGCAGAGCCTCACAAATCTGCAAGTTCAATGCCTTTGCTCTATAAATAGGTAAACTGGGGCCAAAAAAAAAAAAAGACAAGAGCGTGCCCGAGTTCAGAGGACACTAGAGGTAAAGGTGAAAGTCTGATGATGAAGTTCACAGGAACCATGCCAGGAAGCGGCTTCCAACACAGCAGGACAGCAGCCAGAGTCCGTGGCTCAGAGGCTGGGGAACAGAGGGGGAATCGTGATGGTTTCCTGGAAGAGGTTTTCTCCCCAATAGTCCTCTAAGCAGCCAACTCAAATGACCCTAGGTGGAGACAGAGCTAGATCCACAAAAGGAAAACTGCAAAGAGGAATCAGAAACCACGGGGGTGAGTAGTAACTGCACGTGTGACCTTGGGACTGTCCCTTCCCCTCTCTGGGCCTCCCCCCCTCCTCTCCAGGCTCATCAGTACAAGGGGGGCAAAGGCTGCTGGCTCCCACTGTGATTTTCCAGCTCCGACACTCGTGGTGCAGTGCTCTGAATCCAGCCCAGGGCTGCCCAGATACTGACCACCACTTAGGAGACCCCAAGTTCTGGTACAGTGCCTGCGGAAGGCAGGGGCAGGTTGCCCCGGCTTAGCTGGGATGTGAGGCCTGGGGAAGTGTGGGGTAAAGGCTCGGAGATGTGAGTAGTGCTGGCAGACGCTGGAGGAGCAATGAATGAACAGGGAATGGAAAGCGTGGGCGTGAATGGCCAGCATGAGCAGCTTGGACCATATTCCATAAATGATAGGAAACCGAAAGAATTAAGCAAGGCAAGGTCAAGGTCAGATTGACCATGACATGGGAGACACTGTCCTAGGGAAGGACTCATCCATGTGGCCCAGTAGTGGCCACGAGGCTGCAGCAGAAGTCGAGAAGACTCAAGTGAGACTCAGAGGTGGGGTCTTTCTCCCCCATCCATCCTGGACTGTGGGCCCCTCAAAGATAGGAGAAGGGTCTGGTCCCCAGGGCAGGCATCAGGAGGTAGGGTGGGCCTGACGGCCGTGTTCTGACCCTGAGGGAGCCTGGCCATCACAGCCCTCTTCATGGAAGGGTCATCCCTGGGCGGGACCAGGTCATGCTGACCGAAGGCACATCTGGCTCCCCAGGCTCCTCCCAGGGGCCACAGCTGGCAGTACAGAATGGTTCCCAGAAATTATGGTTCAGATGTCACATGAACAAAGACAGAGCTTCGAAGAGGAATGAATCATCCATCCTGGCCCAGCAAAGGCTCACTGAGCACCTACTATGTGCCAGTCTTGGGCTGGCGTGGGGGCAGAGATTATGGGATGCCCAAAGATCCATAAGCCATGGAGCCCCAAGGAGACTGGGCAGTGGGCACCTGCCTGGGGGAGGACCTGGAAGATCACGGCCTTGGCTGGTGGAGAGGAGACGGGAGGAGGAGAAGAGGCAGGAGGGCCCGTGGCTGGAACTGCTGGGGACAGTGGAGAGCATGGATTCACGAGTCTGCAAGTGAGTGGGAGCGGGGAAGGGTGGGAGAGGGCCCAGCAATACAGTCCAACTCTGGACTAAGACACTTACCCCAGAGCCCCCTTCCCCCAACACCGCCCATCTTGTCAGGTTTTGGTGGAGACACAGAAGCAAAGCTATGGGCCATTTTCACCTTCTAAAAACCACAGACATCTGACTCTGGGCACCAGAGCCACATTTCTGGGAGAGACAGAGGCCCTGTGGGCGCTTCGCCTGACGTCAATCGGGGCTTCTCTTTTGTGTCTGCGGCTTTGACAGGAGGAGGCCAGATTAGGGGGCTAAGCTGAGAGAGCAAGAGAAGGACCAGAGGCCAAGCATGCCCCTATCCTTTTGACCTGTCCTCCCCGCGCAAAGGCCTGGTCACGGCTGCTTGGCCACCCTGCTGATGAGCGGGGCAGGTGTCCATTACTGGACAGAGGCTGGGAGCATCTGAAGTCGGCGCCAGAATCGGGACCCCTCACCCAGCCTCATGCCTGGGCCCTCACATTAAAGCCACACCCATGAGGGCTGGGAGCCTCCCTTTGACTACAGAGGTGGCACCATCGGCCACTAAGGGACAGTAGGTGCCCCCTTGGCTACAGAC